GGGTGTGGGTGTGGGTGTGGATGGGTGGTGTGGGTTTGGCTGGGTGTGGGGTGTGGGTGTGGATGGGTGGTGTGGGTTTGGGTGGGTGTGGGGTGTGGGTGTGGGTGTGGGTGTGGGTGTGGGTGTGGGTGTGGGTGTGGGTGTGGGTGTGGATGGGTGGTGTGGGTTTGGCTGGGTGTGGGGTGTGGGTGTGGATGGGTGGTGTGGGTTTGGGTGGGTGTGGGGTGTGGGTGTGGATGCGGGTGTGGGTGTGGGTGCAGTTCTTCTTTTGACCAACATCCACACCCTCAATCATAGATATTCTCAAGAAACTGTTAAAATAACCAACTTTTTGCCCTGTACTATTGAAACAAGGGCATAAAAGCAGTCTGGCTTCTTGAACATGTAAGAGAGATTTCGCTGTCACTCATGCTATACAATATTAAAAAGTAAAGACAAACGAACACGTGTGAGGGTGTGGGTGTGAGTGTGGGGTGGATTTGGATACCTTCGTCTTTACAGTGGCACCCACACCCACACCCACCCACCCGCACCCACCCACCCGCACCCACCCACACCCACACCCACACCCCACACCCACACCCACCCACACCCACACCCACACCCACACCCACACCCACACCCACATCCACCAATTCCCATACCCATCAACAGCCACACCTATACCCATCTTTGGAAATTTTCGTTTTTTTACTTGACGATTTTCAAAAGTTTTAAGAAATTTTGAAAAATTTTCGAAAAATTTTTTGAAAATTTGGATAATTTTTAAGAAATTTTTTAAAAGTGTTCCAAAAAACCGCTGACACCACCCGAATTTTTTTCTACTTCAGGACACCGCTGCTGAGCGAGGTTTCACATCATTATCAATTTCAAATTTCTGTACTCGACAATTGTGCGCATCGGCGACGTAAAGGTTACCTTGACGATCGAATGCCAAATCATATGGTTCATTCAACTGATCTGATTCTTGTCCTCGTCCATATCCACCAACGACAATTCCTTGCGTAGCTCCTTTGTACCAACGCATCACTCGATCATTGCCACGGTCGGCCACAAATATTTCACCTAACTGATTGACACTCACTCCTTGAGGGTTACACAATTGTATCAGATTATTTCCTCTCCCGTTCCCACCAGCAACAACAATTCCTTCTGTTGCATCTATCATCCATTTCATTACACGATCATTGCCACTATCTGATATATACAGTGAATAATCTTCATCAACAAATATGTAAGTGGGAGAATCTAGTTGGTTGAGGTCATTACCTTGTCCATGTCCACCTGCTACTATTGTTCCATAATCATCTCCTATTTTCCATCGTCTTACTAGATGTTCTTTAATATCAGAGACATAAATATCTCCGTCCTTATCTATAGCTAGACCCCAACAGTGAATATCAGAGATGAGAATCTGTCCATTTCTATTTTGTCGACGATACCATCGCATTACTCGGTTGTTTCCAGAATCGGAGATAATAAAACAATCATTTTCTTTATCGATTATCACATCCACTGGACAATTCAATTGATTATTTCGATATCCTCCTCCATTTCCGCCTGCAATAATGTCAACAAAGTCTGTATCATATTTGACTGCAATAATCCGATGATTTTCAGTGTCAGCAATATAAACCATCTGTCCGTCATCAATATATAGACCATAAGGGCTAGACAGGCTTACGCTTTCGTTACCTGCATCTTGGTAATAATGATCTTCAAGGATATCAATTCCATATTGTTGCCATTTCGTATCTAAATGTAAACAAAGGTATGAAATCATTGAAAAGAAAGAAAGAAAAAGATTCTGAAATAGAAATCAATCTCTGATAAATTACTTTTGATATAATACTATGGAAAAATAAGACGATGTATGATTTCTATAAAAGTAATTTGTTAAAATGATTTATTTATTTGAATAGTTGAAAAAGAAAGTTTTTTAATTTAAAACTAGATTGAAAATTATTAAAACAATTTTGTTCATTTCGTTTTTCAATTTATTCAAATGCATTTCTTGCTTCTCGAAATTTTCTTTAATAGAGAAAAATGTTTCTGATTATCGTTTAGATTTCTCAAATAAAAACGTTATTTGAAATCAAAATGTAAAATTCTTTTTGATACAAAAGTTAGTAAATTCCAATTATCTATTCATATTTTCCTAGAGGTATAAAACTTGTTTTTTTTGTTTTTAATATTTGATACATTAAATTGAAAAAACTAATCAATGTTGTACTTCTCATTTATTGTTGTCTTATTAGAATGATTATTTTGACCTGTCCTATTTAAATAAAAAACAACTTTAATTCGTTTGAAATATATTTTCAAAAAGTAATAAAAAGAGAAACATTGAAATATTTTGTTGGACATCTATTTTGATTTTAAATGAAAAAATGAATTTTCTACTCCAATATTTGCGTTTAGTCTTTTATTCTTTGTCCACTCAAATATTTTTTTGAACAAAAAAACTTTTTGTATTCACTATTGATTTTCTTTTAAGTTTGGGATTCTTCATTTCTTCAATTTCGAGACCAATGATGTCAATATCACTATTATCATCAAAAAATAATCTGAAGTTATATATGACTTTGAATATGGATCAATTTTAAAAAAGAGACTCAAGATAAAGAAGCGTGAATGTTTGAGAAATACTGATATGTCAAATATATGTCGCAGCTAAAATATAGCATCAGAGTTAAATAAATTTGTAACTATATTAAAATATTTTCTGAGATGAATATGAAAATGAACTAGGTTAACCCTTTAATAAATAAATTTTAAATAACCAAGTTCTGTCAATGCCGATGATGCAGTCAGATAGATTGCGATCTGGATTGTCATGCATGAGGGCTAGATAAACAATACTGCAGTATTGCACGTGTGATACGTCCCCATGTATGGAGATATACATGAGAATAATTTTTCTGGAAGTTCTGATAAATCGAGAGAAATGGATGCTATTTTTTGATTTGTTCTGCGATCAACAACAAAAAGTGGGACATATTTATCCCACCGCTCTGAAAAAAGATTAAAAAACGGTGAGAAAATAAGTGCACTTCTAAGCTTAGAGATTTATGAAATATACAATTTTAGTACTTTTGCATACTCTTTACTGAAAGATTCGATTTAAGAATATGGCGAATCTATCGTAAATTTCTGTCTCATTTGCAACACAATGAAACTCTCGAATTCAGATATTCGAAAGCTTCCCAGGTGCAAAAATCGTACGAGGATCATATAAGATCTTATACGATCTTACTGACAATTAGATTTTGTAAGATTCAGATTGTATGATCTTACGAAATCTTGCAAATTTCTTGTTCTAAGATTTAATATGATTCTTATTATAAGATGCTGGCGTCAATCTGATATGATTCTTGATATAAGATTCTTGCAAGATCTGAGGATGGGAGTCTTGTTAGATATTGTAGGATCTTGTCAGACCATAATTTTAAGATATTTCTCATGCAAGCTAGTTTTTATAACGATAGGTTTATAGATGTAGATTACTACACGTGTTTAAGTGATGGAATGCTTCCTAATAGAAATATAATTTCTTTTTAAATTGCAAATACACGTTTTGTACACAGCGATGCTTATTATAAAAACAGCACACTACTAATCAATTTGATTTGACTTGATTAAGTTTATTATTGTTTTGAATTTTATCTTGTTAAATTCATTTTATCGTTTATTCTTATTGAAAAAAACATTTTTTGTATTTGTTTGTAAAACTGTAATTAATAATAATTCTCTAGTGTAGAGGACATGTAAGCTGACAATGGCTAATATATACTATATATATGAGCGAGAAACCGTTACATTCGTCTTATATTCTGGTATGGTGGAAGAAATTGCACGTCATATATTTTTTCAAAAATACAACTAGGCTTTTTATATTAATTTATAATTCTTCAAAATTATCCAGTTTTGTTTTAGATATTTGAAATTCGTATCGATCTTATTTAGTCTTTGTGGTTTCATCGACTGAATTTCGATATTTCTGGTTTCTTTTGACTCAAACTAATGATGAAAAATATTATTTTATTTTACTTTCACTCAATGTGAAAGGAGTTAGTTTCATTTGATGTATATGGTTAACTTATTTCAGTTAAGATATAATTAATCTAAGAAGATTATCTACTTATAGTCAAAGTAAAATGAAAGCAATTTAATACAACTATACTTGTTTTACAACAAAATAGGTTCATTTTCATAAGATTACTTATTTAATAGTCTGGGAAAATAAAATAAATTCAAAGTGAAGAGATTAATCTTACTTGAAATAAAGTTAAACTAATAGAATTATTGCATTTATATTTTTTTAATGCAAAATTAATATTCAATTTGATAATATTATTTAGAATTTACATTATATGGAACTAAATTAACCTAATTTTATCATTTTATTTTATTTCGATTGAAATAAAATTAACATACTAGCTTTTTTCTACGATTAAATTAAATTATTTTATCTGATCATTTCAACTAACACAAAATAAATATAATAAAATTATTCATTTATGATTAAAATAAAATCAAGGAAATCTTATCCAATATAATTTGGTTAAATCCGTTTTCCAAACTACAACTCTAATTAATTAAGTCAATTTCAATATCGAACTCTACTCTATATACTGGTGGTCGATTATTCGAGGACGAGCTTAAAATTAACATCAAACCAAACTGTGATCTGTTTTCGATAAAACTACGCATTACTCATTGCATGTTTTCATGTGGAAATGATAAATATTTTTTTTATTTAAAAATAAATTTAGTCTGAGACGAAGTAAAATGATAAAAATTTCGCGATAAATGTTTTCTCTTGAAACAAAGAGTTTGAAGAAGGTAACTCAGCCTGTTGAAAAATTAGGTAGAGGTGATGAAAAGTGCAAGAATATCAATCATGCGATGCATCCTATAGTTGTATAGAAGCATGTATGAATAATGCAAGATCTTATGAGATCATACAATAAGATCATATAAGAATCGTACAGTACGATATGATC